AGCTTCCGAAGGTTAACTATTTTATACAAAAAAACATTTTTAAACAAAATTTAGTCCCGAGTAAAGTTTAAGAGATGCCTCACAAACTGTGTAAAGGACATGTTAAGGAAAGGTTTGGTACGTCCATACGAGTATGTTAAACATGTGCCAAATTTCAAGTCTTATGGCCGCCGCTGAAGGCCCTGTGGCTGAATTTTCAAGTTTTGCAAATTTTGAAGAAAAAAAAAGGAAATCGAAGCTTTTGATGTCATTTCCGAAAACAGTTAACCAAATAGGTTCTTTTGGTCAAATAAGAAAAAATGCGTTATTTCGCTTCTGTCGGCCGATTCTCGATATTTTCGGATTAACGCTCTTAATAAAGTGCATAGTGTTCTATTGTGATGATTTGGGCGGCCATTTTCTGCCAAATTGCTAAGGAGTTAACTGTAATACTTGATGGATTAGCTTATAAATAACAACAATTAATTACTCTTGGCGAGTGTGGCGAGGATGAGGCGGTTGTTCACTTTGCAATTTATATCACAAAGGACACCGACAATCTACTGAACCAATCAAAACTCGTAGTCGTAGTAAATGCATGTCGTTGACGTGTGCAGACGAGTCATGATTGGTTTCGACTTTACTTCTAATTGGATGAAAAAGTGGCGTGGATTTTTTAAGCCAATCACGTAGCGTGGTAATTTTAAAACCAAAGTAAATACGAATAAAGCCTGGTGTACACAAGCAATGTTTATATCACAATTTTATGTGACAATTCTCATTTGTTCGTGTAGATGAAAAAAGTTGGCAATTTTTATGTGACAAATTGTTTTTGAACTGAACTAAGCCGAAACATGCGCTATAAAAGGAACTGATAAAACTAGTTTTCCTCGGTTTCTTTACATAGCATTTTCCTTGCTGTCTTTGCAACTGCCGTTCGAAGCTCGCGAAGTCGCCAGCAATACAAGAATGGATTAATGCAAGAGTTACTTAACACTAGGATAGTAGCAAATTCACTTTCTCTTTGCCACAACAAGAATGAGAGTCCATGAAGAGTCAATAAAACACACATTGGAAAGTAACATATTATCAAAGCCATGTAGAAGACAAAAGTATTCATTGCACTTCTTTTCAATCGCGCTATGTTTAAGTTGTCTCCAGCATTGGAACTTTGCACTGCCTGTTGTTGAGCGTTGATGTGCAGTTGATGTCGACGAACAATGCGGTAAATTCTGATGTAAGAAAATGAGGAAAATACAAGGGAAATTGCAATTATAGCGCCTACAGTAAATCGATATACACGCTTATTCCAAACATCAAATGCCGAAACAAGCATGCTAATTAACCATAGAGTTATTAGAGTATATTGAACACGGGATTGAGTCACTAACGAAGCATATCTCATGTGATAGTGAAGAGCCAGAAATCGATCCACATTGATGGCTGTTATTGTCAACAATGAAACTACGCATAAAGAAGACCCTAATAATCTCCAAACATGGTATGCGAAACCGCGGTCCTCGGTAAGTTGTTGAGCAATATAAAACGGTTGAGCGATGAGACCAACGAGAAAATCTGAAACAGCGAGACTGCAGAGCAT